ACTTTCAATTGGGCTCGACTGACCATTTGCCTGGCGGGGGCGCACCAGAAGCTGGAGAGAGGCGGGCATGGGTGGGGGCGGCGTTAGGGGGCCTGTGCCTCTGCTTGTGCCTCTGCCAGTGGACAGCGACAACGTTTTCACTCAGCCGGGGGCCCCATTATACACAGTTAAATTTAACTTTTATGCTGTAAACTGCGAAGCGCTTTGTTTGTTAATCAAAAGCGCAAATTATGGGCACAGGCAGATGCAGAGGATTGTGGCCACAGATTAGCTCAGCTCAGCTCAGCTCGGCTCGGCTCAGCTCGGAGCGCAGAGTCTGTCACAGATTTATTCAATTACACACAAAGCATAGATAACTTACGATAACTGTAAAAGCTGTCCGAGAACGGGTGGGGGCACACGACACACACACACACACACATACACCCATACACACACCCATTCACTAGCATAAACAAAACAACAACAAACAAACACACTCATACAACAGACAACAGACAACAACAAAAACAACGAGAGACACTCGTCAGACTTTGAAAGGTTCAATAGAATAGAGGGCACAGACCCATTATGATGCCATATTGTGGCCAGCATCCGCCCGGGACTTACATTTACATAATGTGCCCCATTGTCGAAAAGTGAAAATATGTCTATATGTCTATTTGAACTTTCGTTTGTAGTTGTCATCATCATCGTTGTCGTCGTCATCGTCGTCGTCATCCGATTGAAACAATCTTCCAAATTGCTAAGACAAACAGCGTTGCAGCAGTTGACACCTTTTGGCCCGTAGAACTGACCAAATAATCCATAGCCAAAGTCCACACGCTATATATGTCAAGCGAAATGCTTCCGCATTTCACCTATAAAAAATCAAATAATTAGAAACCCCCTCCCAAGACACATAATCCGAAAGCAACAAGGTCTCTTAGAAAGAAAGAACCAGAAATGGCTTCAAATGCAATCGTCAAGAATTTCGAGTTCAGTCAACGGATATTTTATGCTCTGTTTAGTGCCATAAAGAAACTCGATAAAATGGAAAGAAAAGTTTAATTCAATTTTGTATTTATTGTAAAATTTAATTTTGTGAATATTTTTTTTCTCGTTTCATTTTTTTTCTCTTCAAATCTTTCATTTTCAACTTTTTCCATTTCAATAATATTTTTATTTAAAGCCTCCAAAACTTATGGGGGTTTTCTTTGAATAGTACAAAGTCCATAACAGACTGGTGAAAATGGAAATAAAAAGCTTGAGTCATTTTTATTAACTTTTTTTTCATTTGCACTTTAATTGGTATTTTTTATATTTTATTATGCTTCTGATTATCTCTTTAAATAATTATATATATTTTTTAAAGTCATAAGAAATATTTATAATTAACAAGTAAGAAGACTCTAGTCGAGACTGCTCGACTAGGAGATACCCTGAACCCT